AAAAAGATAAATAAAGCATAATAAGGAAACAAATAACCAGAAAAACGAACAGCATAACAGCATAACAGCTTAAATAAAGACAACACACAGTTGGCAAATACAAGCTGAAAGAACTATTCTCAACCACTGATCACTGTTCCCAAATCACTGTCCCAAATCTGAATCTGATACCCACAGGTAAAACTGATTCCCCAAATATTGATACTGATGCCCGCAGGCCTGATACCCAGACTTGCAAACTGATACGTGCATTCCTGTAGAGGCCAACTCTAAAAGCACATAGCAAGCAAGTGAGAGCCGAAACACCCCTAAAGAGGGGTAGGGTCAACCTGTCCTAGTTTCGTCAAGAACTAGGGTTTCACTACGCACACAGCGGTTTCAAACAACCTATAATTGGGTAAGTAACCTGTCCTAGCTTGGAATGGTCACTACAGTTTTCGATATGCACTAGGTCGAATGGTCAAAAGGGGTGCCTCAGTAAAAATCGAGGTTTGTGTTCCCGTTGTGGCAGAGCCCGTAACCGGTCCACCTTATGGTACGCAGCCTCAGGCAAACCGTTCAGGAATAGCAGACAGCGAACACGGTATCCTAGGGGCACCAATGCACATGCAATGCAAAGAAACATATAAGTGTAGTCAAAACAAGATATCATGAGTTCGAGTCAAGTTCTCTAAATCCCCAGCAGAGTCGCCAGAAACGGTAGACGTGCCTGAACGTCCCGGGCTTCGCGCGCGAAATGGGCGCGATATCCTGTTTTGTTCATTGGACTACTACAGTTCGGACTTAATGTCACGGTTCTGAATCTAATCTCGCAAAGTGCAATGCAATACTGATAAATCACCAAAGAGTCCAAATCCGGCAAATCATTTTGGAAAACTGATTTTTATAAAGAAATGCCAAACATGGACTGCTTTTCCAGATACAGAGTCGCCACCTAAATATTTTATTTTGGGGGAATTTAGAAAACCCTGACTCGTGCCTAAGGCCACGTGTCCGTCATCAACAAAGTTGCCTCGGCTCGGGAACTTGGGTATGAGAGGGGAAGGTCATGCAATGAGCACCTCCGCTCGTCTGATCAAAGATCGGCCTTTACTAAGCATGATATTCTGTTTTTGAAAACGCATGTGTTCGTATTCCGGTGTATTAGCTAGCTTATTACGTGATGCGCATAGCATACAAGTATAGAGTAGATCGCCTAAATTGGAACAAAACATCTCATTTTTGTTTGTTTGAAAATGGTTTGAAGGTGCTACTCGCAAGTAGGCTAAGACGTGGATTTGCCACCCTCAAGTGGGCTTAGAAAACATGATTTTGCCACTTCAAGTGGGCTTAAAACTCGTATTTTAATGAATTGTTCCAATTCAAGCAATCCAACCTTCACCCATAGGTATTCAGGCAGTTAAACACTTAAGCAGTTAGCCTCATGGCAAGCATGCTATCATGGCAACACTCACACTCATGCAAGATGTTAAAGCATAAACACTTACAGTGTACTCCGAGCTAAAATAGAGAACTAGTTAGAAATCATGCATGATCTTAGTTTATGTCAAGAATGCCTAATGCAACACATGCAAAATACAACTAGAAATAGGCTCGGCTATTCTAAGATGCCATGTGAAATGCAATTCTTGATAACATGTATTCAAGTCGGTATTGAAATACAATTCAGTTAGTATGATGCGCCGAGCCCGGTGCATGCAAGACAGATGAATGAATGCAAACATGCAAGCAGAAGGATGCTAATCGAAATATGCCCTAAAACTAACCATCGTAAGTAGTTAAGTAAAAAGGAGAAATACGTGGGGTTGGAAGACATTCACACACTCACGCACACTTATTACAAAAGTTGGCCCTCTTGATGGAGGGTCCGAATGAATAATCCAAGCTAGCTACGCTAAGCTATTTTAACTAATCTAATGATCTAATTAGACTAATTTACTGGAAACTGGCCTCCACATGACCGAGTCATTTGGAGCAATTGTTATGAGGAAAAGGAGCTTGTGTTTGATTAGAACTCCTTATTCACTTGATGATGATGATCAATCATGCTAGATGATCTAAACAAGTCTTATGTGCTGGGTTTGTGGAGCAAATTAGTACTGTATACCTTACTACGTAATCACGGATCTAACTATAGATGTAAATAAATCGTAGCATACTTATATTGTTCTTTAGACGAACAATTAATATGTGCTCTTTCAATACAGTCGAATGGAAAATGCTATAGGTTCCAAATTTTCTACCAAATAAATGATCAAATGCCTCACATGTGTGTGGGGTCTACAAAATTGCGGATCCCACATCCATGTGAGATATTTGGTCATCTATTTGGTAGAAAATTTGGTATCCCTAGTATTACCCTAGTCGAATTGGTGTGACTTGTGGATGTGGATATTCTTGTCGAACCACATATAATGGGTCGAGTTTCTTTTTTTTTTTTTGGTGATTGATTGTTCTTGTTATTGTGTTTGTAGTTTATTATGAATTCGTTTGGGAAGTGAGTTGGCTTTTTGGTTTTTTAATTTTTTTTGGTTATTTTGGCCTGGGACTAAAAAGCTTTGGGAAGGACTTTTGACTTTTTTGTGAGAGAAAGAATGTAATGATTATGGGTTGATGTGATATTTTGTCTTATTGAACTAAAAAACTTAATTTGTTTTTTGTGGTTATTTTAGACAAAAAAACCTCAAAACCAACTTCCCAAATGGAGACTATGCGATAACCACCTTCATTTTCTTTTAGTTTCTTTTAAGAGCAATGTTATATATCCAAAAAACTTATTCAGAAAAATACTTACAATTTAATGACAGAAACTCAAATCTATACCCCGCAAAAAACTTCAATCTATATTGTACATTTTAAATTGGAAGTTTTTCAAAATAGTTAGTAATTTTTTTTTTCTTTTTAATTTTGTCCACTCTGTTTGTGGTCTTTTCAATACTATACTCGTATGACATGAAGAGGTAGTGCCCCATCCAATTTGCGATTGGTGGTGAATAGGGTGAGCTAACAATTTATTGTTGGCATGGAAGGGAAAGGTTGGCCTTCAAAGACAGTTATTCCTACCCTACTGGACTAGTATATGTTTCTACTATTTCTCTCGTTTTGGAACCTTATTACTTATTCCAATCAATAGTGCTCACATTGGACCCATCCATCCATGGCACACCTTTCACATTGAAGAATCATCTCAAGATAAATAGATATTAGGCCTTGTTCGGTAACAGGCTATTTTAATAATTTTTTGACTTTTTAATTAAAATATGAGGTAACAAAAACTTGTATGTTTGAACTAATTTTTTGATTTTTTATGAAAAAATATACAAAAAGTAAAGAGAAAATGAAATGAAATTTTTGACCTTTTTATATAAGTTATAGATTTTTTTTTAATTTTTTAGTAACGTTTTGACTTGTAAACTAAAACTATCACTTCCCAAACGAGACTTAAGAATAAGAGTACTTATCAAAAAAAGATTTGAAGGGTTGGTTTGGGGTGTCTAAAAAAAGTACATTTTTTATTTTTTTACGAAAAGATGTGCAGAAAAGTAGAGAGGTGACGTGATAAAAAAAAATAAAAAGATAAATTATATAGGTTATACCAAACCTTAATTGGAAATAGAGGTAAGGATTTTCTGTCCTTCTATAGCAAAATATTCACAATAAAAGTGAATAATGTAAGATTTTTAATGTACACAAAATTCAAGACATAATTTAATAATTATGAATATTTTAAAACAGAAAAAATGTAAAATAATTAAAAGGCATTTTAAAATTCATAAAAAAAATATATTGAATATTAGTGATAAGTGTCTTAAGATTTATAATTTTTTTTTTATGTATAAGAGTACTTGTTAACCTATCTAACGTTAACTCTTTAAAAAAACAATTCAAAGATCTTGTTTTGGCAAAATAAAAGTGTATGAGATATTGTTTATTAGGTTCGATTTATCATGTCATCCTTATAATTGATGTGCTGAATTAATAAAATTTTCAAAAAAAAATGATAGTTATTTTTTGAATTACTAAAAAATTGACACTTTTTTAAAAAAATTATTCATATGTTTTAACTTTTTCTTCTTTAAAGGGTTGTTTGGGGTGTCCTAAATAAGTGTACTTTTTGTCTTTTTAGACTAAAAAATTAAGGAAGAAAATATGGATGTTTTGATTAACTTTTTGACTTTTTATGGAAAAATGTGTAATAAAAAATTATAAAAATTGATTTGTAGGAATTGATTTGTAGAGAAAAATTAGGATTGGGAGTTGTGCAGTTGTAATTGTTGACTTTTTGTGAATAGTATTAACTTTTTAACTTTTTAAATAACTTTTTGACTTTTTTGTAATATGCCAAACTTGGTCTAATATGCCAAACTTACAAACCAAACAAGTTTTGAGAAATTTTTTTGGAAAAATTTGTTTAGTTTAATTACTTTTGAAAACTTATTTGTAGATAATTTTTTTCAAAATTATTTGGGAAACACAAACCAAACAATGCCGCTCATTCTATCCTGAAATTCGAACGTTAAAGGGTATGTTTGGTTTGAGTTTGGGAGATGAGTTTTAGAGATAAAAAGTACGAAAAGTTATTTGGTTTGATTTTTTTCAAAAGATGTTTTGAAAAATTATTTTGAAAAAGAGTTTTGAAAAAAGTGATTGATTTGATGTGTGTGAGAGAGAGAATTGTTTGAAAAACTTGTAAATCAAATAAGTTTTGAAAAAAAAAATTGAAAAAAATTGTTTGATTTGATTACTTTTAAAAATTTATTTGTAAAAACATTTTTCCAAAAATTTTTAGAAAAGACAAACCAAATAAGACCAAAATCTCTCCGACATCCTCACATCAATCACCAAGGATCCTCTAGAGTGAAATTTTTTTAAAGTTTCCTAGAATGCTATATTGTATGGTTCAGATTTATTGGCAAGTCACATCAGAAAAATTGATGTGACTTGCCAGTAAATCTCAACCACACAATGTAGCACTAAATTTTCCTAGAGTGCTATATTGTATGGTTCAGATTTACTGGCAAGTCACATCAGAAAAATTGATGTGACTTGCCAATAAATCTCAACCACACAATGTAACAATCTAGAAAACGTGAAAGAAAAAATTGCTCCACATCAATCACTCCGAAGCCCCCAAACATGGCGTCGATCAAATCCTCTGCTTCGCGTTACACCTCCTACGATTCTCGATCTTCGACCCAGCCTTTCCAATCCGACCCCTCATCCTCCACCGAGCTCAAACCCAACAAACCCTTAATCAAACGCCTCATTGGCGGCTCCGCCAATCGCAACCACCACCAGCCTCCGTCTGCGGCGGCGCAGAGCTCTTCTCGAGCCATCGTGAAGGCCAAACCGTCGGATTTAGTTCAGGTGAAGCAAAAGCAAGATCAAAATTTGAGTGGGTTGGTCAAGAAATTGATGGGGGCGAAGCCGAAGAAGGCGGCGAATTTTGTGATTCCAGTGGATTTATTGCGGAGGATTTGAAGAAGACGGCGAAGAAAGGGTCGAATTTGGGTGGGTTGAATCGGAAATTGTTTGGTAAAGGGTCGGAGATGAAGGCATTGACGGAGGTGAAGTCGAATACGAGAACTTTGGCGATGGTGCTGAGGAGTGAAAGAGAGCTTTTGAGTCAGAAAAAGGAGCAGGAGGTGGAGATCACTGATCTCAAATTGATGGTAGAGGAGAAAAACAGAGAGGTAATATATACAATTATGTTTATATGCATGCACTAATTTAACAAAATTGTTGATTGATCTGTCCAACATTGCGAGAAAAATCAAAGCTTTGAATGTGTTAGTAACATGAGCTTACACAATGGTCTGTGTTTGTGTTGGACTTCTAGGGTTGAAAAATGGGGTTTATTTTGGTGGCATTGACGGCAAAATGTTACATTTGGATGTGCCCTTTTCTTGTTGATTGATCAGTGGAAATTTAACTATTGAAAATGCACTCACTTTGCGAGAAAAATCAAAGCTTTGAATGTGTTAGTAACATGAGCTTACACAATGGTCAGTTCTGTTGGACTTCTAGGTTTGAGAAATGGGGCTTATTTTGGTGCCATTGACCGCAAAATATTACATTTGGATGTACCCTTTTCTTGGAAAATCTGTTTCTCGAGAAATTGGAACTTGGAGATTATTTTAATCTTCTTGGTGGGCTAAACAAATGGTTAATTATTATTATTTATTTGTTTTCTGATGGTGTCTGTGTTTGGTTTATTGTGGAGACTAGAGAAGATGTTGATTAATAGATTTGGGATTTTTGTGTATTGGGATATACCAGAAATCACTAATTTGTGTTCACTTGATGTGAAACAGTATTTTGTGCTTTTTTGTGGACTAGCTCAATGGTTTGTGTTTTAACTGTTAAAATTTAACCATTGAAATGCACTTGCGTTGCGAGAAATATCAAAGCTTTTGGTGTTTTAGTAACTTCATGAACTTACACAATGGTCTGTTTATTCCGAACTTCTAGCATTGAGAAATGGGATTTATTTTTGGTGCCATTCGCTGCAAATTATTACAATACCACTGTTTCTTGGGAAATCTTTTTCTCGAAAAATTTGTAATTTGAGTTATTTTGAATTGTTTTGGTTGGCTAAACAATCATTTTTATTTTTATTTTTTTGAATTTGTTTGATGGCGTTTGGTTTTGTATTAATATGAAGACTAGAGAAGATGTTGTGTTTGAGGTGAAACAGTATTTTATCATTTTCTTTGAACTATCTTTGAGATTTGGTTAAAAAATGAGGTCTGTTTCTTCCCACATTCTCATTGTCATCACTTGATTTTGTAGGTTGAGAAGCTGAAGGATTTGTGTTTGAAGCAAAGGGAAGAGATAAAGGCGTTGAAGAATGCTGTACTATTTCCGGATGCCATGAATTCGCAGTTTCAGGAACTTTGGGAGAAGCAAGGTTCCGAACTAAAGCAGGCAAAACGACTCATCCCTAGTCTCCATAGACAGGTCACTTCTCTTACAGGCCAACTTCAATGCCTTGCCGAACAGTGTTGTCAAAGTCGCGCCTAGGCGCACGCCTAGGCGCAAGGCGAGTCGAGGCGAACCATCTGCGCCTGTACAGGTACCAGGCGAGGCGGCTTGAGCCAGGCGAGCGCCTTAGCCGTGCCTTGAGCCAGGCGAGAGAGGCGCAAGGCCTTAGTGCGCCTTGAGCCTTTAAAAACACTGTTGCCGAAGATCTTGCAGAGGTAGCACTTTACATGTGACACTAAAACCTTCAAATTATTTTGGTGTTTGAAATTTGTGGAATTTTTTTTTTCTTGGCACTTGAATTTGTGACACTATATTCGCGTGAACAGGTGAAGGCAGATAAATATTCAGTGAGGAGGTGTTATGATAATCTTGTCAGCTCTCCGAGGACACTGGCATATGATCAAGAAGACACCCCTAATTCTCTGGTAAACCCTTCATATTAAACTGTAAAATCATAAATTGTAGCCAATGATTGTGAGTCAAATTTAACCTATTTTGCAGATTATAATTTGAATTTTGTTCTAGTATTTTTGTTATATATGAGCTTTTATTCCTTTCAAGAACCATTGAGATGAATGGGCTTTGCCGAAAAGCCAATACATATTTTGACTAGCCAAAATCACAAAGGAGAAGATGATAATCTTCCCTTAAAATCAAACAAGGAGTTATAAACAAATACTAATTTATAGATATTCTATTCTATGTAATAATCTGTCTGACAATTTGTTTAGGAATTCAGCTCTGGAGGTCACACCACTCTTGGCAGTCCAGATGACATGTTCGTCAATGATATAAATCCCTGTTTAACACCTTATTATGCCAACACAAAGTTGAAGTTATGTAGAAGAAGATGCTGCATTCTTTTGCACTTCTCAAATTGCATAAAAAAAACCCTGTCTTTTTCACTTAAAAGTGACCGGCAGAATAGATTGTAACACTTTTTTCTTTTTTCATTTTGGTAACTGGAAATAGAACTTTAACTAGTTAATATTTTACAGGAATTTGAGGCATTGGGCTGTGATTCTTCACCGGATGAAAGATTTTCTAGAAACAATATGCAGTTGAGGCACGAGATTGGTTTTGACTTCTGTGTTAGAAAAATGTTAAAAAGTTCAGATTGTTGCCAATGTTCCAACTCATCAGGGAGCACTTCTGCCCGACCAGCACGCAGATCAGGCGAAAGCAAATGCACATATGGAAAGCAGATGAACCATAAGTTTTTGAGTTATTTGGTGAATAGTATAAGCACATAGAAATTGATCACAGAACCGAACACAAATTGTATATAGATGGCTAAGAAATGTGGATCCACCCAACAAATTTTTAAAAATCTTATCCATTCACATATATTTTGTGTCCAACTCTGTGATCATTTTTTGTGTTCATATCAGAACTGTGATTTGGCGGCCTAGAGTTTGGATGTACCAGAGCATTTTGTTTTGAGCACAATTTCTCCTTTACTCCTCTTCGTATTGTGGTCTGTAATTCTGGTTAGCACTCTATTGGTTTTTATATGATATAAGAGGCACTGGCCAATATGTTCATCTTCAGTAAAAGAAGAGGTTGAAATTGCTCGACTTGAGAGTGAAAATAATTAGCCCTCTCAATTTACATACGCATTATGAGAACGTACCATGTGATTTGAACATGTTACCAATTTATATGTTACAAAATTACTTCACTCCCTCATGGTTAAGGGTGGGAGCATTTTATATTGTTTAAATATAAACAAAGTGTTAGGATCAAACACACTCAGAAAATTATCTCACACACACAGAACACAATATTTACGTGGTTCAGCCCAATGTCTACATCCACAGAGCAGAAAAGAGAATTTCACTAAAATGGAACAAAAATACAAATACAGAGGAGGAGATAAATTACTCACTCAACTCATAGCTCTCTCTCTATTTTCTGATACAATACATCTTTTCCTTCACATCTCTATTTATACACAAAGAGAGGGAGAGAGAGATATCAACCCACCAAAAATGTCTACTCTCTTTAATGGTAATGGTAAAAATCAACAAAGACAACAACGGAAAGAGAATGGAGAGATAATCTTCCAGATGCCCAACTCAGACCTCCTTCTGTGGAGGTAGAAGTCTTCTTACACCATGTTCTCTGACTCTCTCCTTTGCATGCATGGGATTGGAACTAACAATTCTCCCCCTCCATATCCACATACATGACTGACTTCTCACTTGAAGTCCATCCCTGCAATGTCTCTGCAGATTTCGAGTTTGTTTCTCGAAACCACCTTTGTAAGCATGTTAGCTGGATTCTTATCTGTGTGGATCTTGATCAGTTCCAATAACTGTTTTTCCATCACTTCACGTATCCAATGATACTGAACATCAATGTGCTTTGTGCGAGAATGGTACATCGAATTCTTGCTCAGGTCTATGGCACTCTGGCTATCACAATGTACCGTGAACTTTTCTTGCTTTACTCCCAACTCTTGGAGAAACCGCTTCAACCACAACATCTCTTTCCCAGCTTCCGCTGCGGCAATATACTCTGCCTCGGTTGTGGATAAAGCAACACACTTCTGCAGCTTGGACTGCCAAGACACAGCTTCCCCTGCAAAAGTGAATAGAAATTCTGATGTAGATTTCCTACCATCAAGATCTCCTACCATATCTGAATCTGTATAGCCTTTCAAGACTGGTTTTGCATCTCTAAAGCACAAACACATTTTTGCTGTACCCTTGAGGTACCTCAGAATCCACTTGACTGCTTCCCAATGCTCTTTCCCTGGATTGGAAAGGAATCTGCTTACTACTCCAACAACATGAGCAATATCTGGTCGGGTGGACACCATTGCATACATCAAACTCCCTACAGCGAATGAGTAGGGAATAGCCTCCATCTCTTCTCTTTCTTTTGTAGAAGAAGGACAAGAATTCTTGCTCAGCTTGAAATGATTAGCCAGTGGAGTACTGACTGACTTGGCATCTTTCATGTTGAACTTCTCAATCATCCGTTCAACGTACTTCTCCTGTGACAGCCATAACTTCTTGGCTTTCTTGTTACGCACAATTTCCATGCCCAAAATTTGTTGTGCAGGGCCTAGGTCCTTCATGTCAAAGGACTGTGATAACTCCCTCTTCAGTGATCTGATTGCTGTGGCATCCTGTCCAACAATCAGCATTTCATCAACATAAAGCAGGAGTATGATGAAGTTTCCACCGGCAAATTTCCTGACATAAACACACTGGTCTGTAGCAGTTCTCTTGTACTCATGACCCACCATGAACGAGTCAAACTTCTTGTACCACTGTCTCGGGGCTTGTTTGAGGCCATAGAGACTCTTCTTCAATCTGCAGACTAAATTTTCTTTCCCTTTGACTTCAAAACCTTCTGGTTGCTCTATGTAAATTTCTTCCTTCAGATCACCATGGAGAAATGCCGTCTTCACATCCATTTGTTCAAGTTCCAAATTCAAACTAGCTGCTAGTCCCAAAACTACTCAAATGGATGTCATTTTCACAACTGGCGAGAAGATTTCATCAAAATCAATACCTTTCTTCTGCCCAAAACCTTTGACAACCAATCGAGCCTTATACTTGACTAGCTTTCCGCTGCCATCTTTCTTCAACTTGAACACCCATTTGTTCTGCAATGCTTTTCGACCCTAGGGAAGTTTCACCAAATCATAAGTCTGATTCTTCTGCAAGGACTGCATCTCTTCTTGCATAGCTTGCTGCCAACTACTCTTCTCCTTATGATTTTGAGCTTCTTGAAAACTTTCTGGCTCCCCCTCATCGGTAAACAAAATATACTCAGAAATAGGGTATTTGGTTGACAGCTTAAACTCTCTTGTTGATCTTCGCAACTGTGAACCAACAGTCCCTGGCGGAGGGGGTTGTGGCTCCCACTGCTCAATACCCTCTACTTCTGGATCTTCTTTTTCTAGAAGTCCATCCTGCAACTCTACATCATTGATTGCATGCTGCGGTAACTCTTCTTCATCAGTGGCATGCTGTGATGGTGCAGGGTTTGGAATAATTTCTGAAACATCATCAACTTTGGGTTTGGCTGGTTGCCCAAAGCCTTCTAAGGTCTGGCCTTCTTGAAACACCGCATCTCGGCTTCGAATGACCTTTTTGTTTTTGGATCCCATAATCTGTATCCAAATTTTTCATCTCCATAGCCAATAAAGATGCATGGAGTGGCTTTGTCCTCCAGCTTCTGCCTGTGTTCCTTGGATACATGTGCAAATGCTTTGCACCCAAAAGAGTCTCAAGTGAGAGTAAGAAACCTTCCTTCCAGACCATACTTCTTCTGGAATTTGAAAATTCAGTGGAACGGATGGCGATCTGTTGATCAAATAGCAAGCAACACGAACAGCTTCTCCCAAAAATGGCTTGGGTAGCTTTGCCATTTTGAGCATACATCTGACCTTCTCCACAATGGTTCGGTTCATTCTCTCGGCTACACCATTGTGTTGTGGGGTTCCAGGAACAGTCTTCTCATGCCAGATGCCGCGAGTAGCACAGTAAGCTTCAAATTCCTTTGACGTGTACTCGCCTCCATTGTCTGTTCGGAGACATTTCAGCTTCTTTCCGGTCTCTCTTTCCACCATAGCATGGAATGTCTGAAAATGCTGGAACACCTCAGCTTTGGTCTTTAGGACATAAACCCATACCTTCCGTGATGCATCATCAATAAATGTCAGAAAATATTTTCTGCCACCCAAAGATTCTACTTCTATGGGACCGCAAATATCAGAGTATACTCTGCTCAACAACTCTGATTGTCTTCTGGATGATGATGAGTGGAAAACGACTCTATGATGCTTCCCAAGTAAGCAGTTGTCACAAGGGTTCAATTTCACATCTTTGGCAAAGGGAATAAGTGATTTCTTTGCCAAAATTTGCAACATTTTCTCACTCATGTGACCCAGCCTTTTGTGCCACAAATTTGGTGACGCCTCATCTTCTGCTGCGTTGAGGCTATCTGAATTCACCTCCACATGAGTATTGTATAGAGTGCCAATTGCCTATCCTTTGGCTACCACCAGAGATCCCTTTTTCAACTTCCATATGCCTTTGCCGAAGTAGTTCTCATAGCCTTGTCGATCTAAGGCTATTCTTGAGATAAGATTCAGGCGTAAATCGGGAACATGCCTGACATCTTTCAACACCATCGTGCACCCAACTTTGGTTTGGATGCAAACATCACCAATTCCCACAATCTTCAAAAAACTGGAGTTACCCATCTTCATTGTACCAAAATCTCCAGCTTGGTACGTACTGAAGAACTCCTTCTGGGATGTAGCGTGGTAGGAAGCTACTGTATCTACCACCCACTCTGTGTCGTTGTCTGACATATGGAGGCATTCTTCTTCTTCAATAGAGAATAATGCAATATCCTCTGAGACAGTAACTGCAGTGTTCCCATCTTCGGTTTTTGGTTGTCTATCGTCTTGTTTTTGTTCTCTCTTCAAGGCATAGCAATACTTCTTTATGTGACCCTCCTGGCCACAATGGTAACACTTGAACCTTGGCCGGCTCGTACCTTCTCTGGATTTCCCTCTGTCTTGAGATCTTCCTCTGCTGCGTCCTCTGCTTTTGCTTCTTTCTCTGCCTCTGCCTCTGCCTCTGCCTCTGCTTCGACCTTTATTTTCTGTGACGAGGGCATGGGACTATTCTCCACCCATTTCTTTCTTTCTTGCCTCTTCACTAAATAAAGCATCAGTGACCATGCTCATGGTCAATTTCCCTTGAGGGACACCACCAACGTCTCCCAACTGTCTAGTAAAGAACTGAGCAGCAATAGAGCCTGTATTTCATCATCCAACTCCATTTTGACAGTTGCCAGTTGGTTCACCAGATTTTGAAACTCACTGGTGTGTTCAGCAACAAAGATACCGCCTTTCAGCTTCAAATTCACAAGTCTTCTCATCAGGAGGGCTTTATTCCGTGCAGTCTTCGACTGGTACATGCCTTCTAACTTTGTCCAGAGAGCATATGCATCAGTCTCTTTGGCGACATGGTGGAAGACACTGTGATCGATCCATTGTCTGATTTGGCCGATGGTTTTTCGGTTCTTCCGCTTCCAGTCTTCATCTTTTTCCGTTGCTGGTTTAACTCCATTAAGCTCAATGGGGTCAAACAAATCTCAACAATATAGGACATCCTCCATTCTGGGCTTCCAAATGGCATAATTGGAAGCATTCAGCTTTATCATGGAACCTGAAGTCGACGTTGATTCCTCCATCATGCAGAAAGTGATCTCTATATGAAAAATAGGCTTTGTTGTAGAGTCTGGACTGGTTAAATTAGGCTGAAAAGCACATCGGATTGCCAAAAGAAAGACTGCAAATTTTTGAATTCAAATTTTCAAAATCTGACCATACAGATGTGTCCGAAATATTCCAAATAGTTGGAAAGCACTATTGGATCACCCAAATCGAACTTCAAATAGCTTAGATCAAACCAAAACAGATTGAATGGTTCAGATCGGCAGAATCTAGTGCGGTGAGAAGCACCAGATTATTTCTTCGGTTCGGCTGGGGTCTGGCTGACGTCAGCGGCTTAGTCAACGGCTCGGTCAGCGGCTTTGGCTTCGGTCTGGCTC